GACCTAGTAATAGGGTGAGTGAATTTGGAAAAAATTCTCTCTCTCATGCTCAGATACTTAATCAAAAGTCCTTTAATATAATTAATTTGGACAGTGGTGAGAACAAATGGAGATGATCACTGAGAAATCTCTGAAAACTCTGGACACAAGGGGCATTTGTGAAAAACAAGGCATCAAAGCAAAATAAGATCTTTCACAAACAGGGCACTTCTGTTGTTCTGACAATGTATATGCTGCCTTGGAAGATGGGAGATGAAATCCTGTTCAGGTAAATACCTAGTGTAAATACCTAGTTAAAATTTACTATTTTAACCATTGTTTAAGAGTACAGTTGAGTAGCGTTAAATACATCCACACTGCTGGGTGACCATCACCACTTTCCATTTCCAGAATTTTTTCTTCATCCCAATCTGAACCTTTGGACCCCATAAACAGTAACTTCTCTTTCTCCCTTCTCTCTTGTCCTTGGTAATCTCTATTCTTTACCTTATTAAACTAGAGTCAGACAATATATGTCCTTTTGTATCTGGCTTATTTCATTTAGCATAATGTTTTCAAGGTTCATCCATATTGTAGAATGTATTAGAATTCTGTTCCTTTTTTAAGGATGAATAAATATTCCATTGTATGTACATACCCCATTTTGTTTATCGATTTCCATCAATAGATTTGTGGGTTGTTTCCACCTTTTGGCTATCATGAATAATGTTGCTCTTAACATTTAGTATACACGTATCTGCTTGAATCCTTGCCTTCAGTTCTTTTGGGTATATACTTAGGAGTGGAAAAAAGCAGGACTTCTAAACTTTCATTTCCCCCTACATGTTTCTGGTTTATCCAGAAATATATATCTATACTGTTCATGCCCCAAGTGCTGTGATTTTGTATTCTATCGATGGATAAAGAACTTTAGGATTTTGAGGGATGGGACACATATATCTGTTGCTCTATGATTTTGAGTATATAATTCTACCATACTGTAAAATTGATTTTTATTTAAGCACCCAAAGATATATCTGAAAGACAGTATTCAATGACAACATATTTGCATTTCAAAAAGAATGAATATTTTAAAAATAAGGAATCAGAGCAAGGACTCACTTTCCTTTCTATCTCTCTCTCTGTGTCTGTCTTCTCATGAGTGCGTGATAAGAGCTTCTGTATATGGGATAAACACAAAGGAGGTGATCTGCGGTCTTACAGTAGGCATGCTAAATCCTTCTCTCCTATTCTTCTCCCATAAGAATTCCTCATTCTCTGTCTCTTAGGGAAAAAACAGTATGATTACATCAGTTCCGAGTAGTTCATATATGAATAACAAGAGCATTTTAAATTAGTTTAGGGCTTTTAGAAACATTTAACAGGAATATGTTTTGTAAGCCGAAGGAAAGACATGTTCACACTTGAAATTTCAGTGAGAATGACAAGGCACATGAACAATTTCTGGTATTGAAAACTTTTGCAATGAAAATTATAATGTACAGCTCTTTAATGTTCACTCATTCCATTCAGGGATCTGTGTGTGTGTTGGCAAAACTAATGACATGGTCCTTATACCTGGCAATCTGTAAGTCCAGCAGGGAAGACAGCAGACCTTGTAGGATAAATGCTGGTGAAGGGTTCCAAACCCAGTTTCTAGAAGTGCCATGAGGGAGGGACCAGAGATACTGGAAAGGCCAGAAAAGACTCTGGAGAGGGAGCATGTGATCCTGTCCTTTAAGGACAGGCTGGACAATGAGGTGATGAAGGAAAAGTATCCCAAAAGGAGATGTCCTGAACAAAGATTTCACAATGGGGAAGTGCAGATGATGTTTAGGACATAGAGAAGGGGTTCTGATGGACTAGGGCAGAGGATCTGGTGTGCCAATCATGGGCATGACTTTGGTATGATGGATGGAAGGCCAAGGACAAGAGGAGAACTCTGTGCTTTCTGACTTAATTTATTAGGTTATAAGGAGAATCATCCTGTGCTCTCCCATCTGTCTGTTGTTAGTGGGGGCAACAAGATGTTCCCTGTAAACCAAAACACTATCTTCTAGGAGCTGCATCGTTATTGGCTGGCATTGAAGATCATTGTGAAAATTTAAGCAGTCAGAAGTGTAAGGATCAATGAGATATTTCTCCCTGGCTCCACCAGCGCCTCCATCCCTATACATTTTTCCCAGATAACTGCTGTTAATTATTTCTTCTTGTTTACTCTTTCTGTTATCGTTTATTCAGTCAATGAATATTTGATTGCCTATTATTAACATTGGGCATACAACAATGAATAAAATTCTTGCTCACAAGAAACATAGTTTAGTGGGAAGAAACAGTAAATAACAAGAATATTAAAAACATATCTTTAATCAGGGAAATGCAAATTAAAAACACATTGAGATACCACCTTACACCAGTAAGAATGGCACATATCAAGAAAACAAGCAACAACAAATGTTGGCGAGGATGTGGTGAAAAAGGAACTCTCCTGCAATGCTGGTGGGAGTGCAGACTGGTCCAACCACTATGGAAAGCTGTCTGGAGGTTCCTCAGTCTACTAAAAATGGAGCTACCACAGGACCCGGCAATTCCACTCCTAGGGATCTACCCAAAGGACACAGAAACATTAATTCAAAAGAACACCTGTACACCTATGTTTATTGCAGCACTATTTACAATTGGTAAAACCTGGAAACAACCCAAATGCCCAAAAATAGATGACTGGATCAAGAAGATATGGTACATATACACAATGGAATGTTATTCAGCAATCAAAAAAGATAAACTCATGCCATTCACAGCAACGTGGATGGAGCTAGAAGGAATTATGCTCAGTGAAATAAGCCAGAAGGAAAAAGAAAAATATCGGATGGTTTCACTTCTAACAGGAATATAGGGGAGCCAAATAAGACATCAGTGTAAAAATAATAATAACAGGACAAAACACAACAAAGCAAAAATGGACAATTATAAATCAGAGACATCCTGCAGGGGAGGAGGAGGGAGAGGGATCAGAGGGAGGGAGGGAGGAGCACAGGGGACTGAGGTGATGGTGCATGGGTACCTTGGGGAAGGAAACTATGAGGACTACACCTGAGGGGGTGGGGGGAAGCAAATATTGTTTAAAAATGAACAGTGATGTAAAAAGTAAAAAAAATTAATTTAAAAAAAGGAAAATAAAATATTAGTTTATTAAAAAAAATCTTTACCAAATGGGATTATCCTGTACATATTCTTTTGCAAATTGCTCTTTTCATTGGACAGTACATTTTGGACAACTTCCCAGTGTGAAGAGGCCTACTTCTTTCATTGATAATAACTAATATTTAGTGAGCAGCTACTATGCTTCAGGCACTTAGTTGCAACAATCCTCTGAGCTAAGTACTGTAATTTTCACCATTTTACTGATGAGGAACTGAGGCTGAAAGAGCTTTGAGAACTTACCCAGAGTTACCTGGCCAGCCAATGGTGGAACCAGATCTGATTCCAGATGACCTTATTCTCCTCTCCAGTTCTACTTCCTCTTGATAGTTGTATAGTACTCTGCTGTATGCAAGCACCATAATTTAATTGGCCAGCCCCTTATATTTAAGTCATTTTCAGTTTTTTACAGATATGTTTGCACATGCTTGTGATCATCTGTAAGGTAAATTCTCAAGAGATGGGAAATATGCATTTCTATGTTTGATAGGCACTACTTAGTTTCCCTTTAAAAATATCTCACTAGTTGCTACTTCCTCTAACAGCATGAGAGGATGTGTTTTCCTTTATATATAAACAACTATTATATATTAGTTTCCCTTTAAAAATAGTACTGACATATACATGTGTATATATATATATATATATATATATATGGTCTTCATTCTTTTGTTTTCTCTATATATCCCATATGAGTGCTATCACATGGTATTTGTCTTTTTCTATCTGACTTATTTCACTAAGATGAGACCCTCTAGGTCTATCCATTTTGCAAACAGCAGGTTTCCATATTTTTAAATAGCTGACTAATATTGCGTGGTGTATATATATCATCTCTCCTTCAACCCAGGGAATCATCAATTTTGTTGTAGTTGCCAATATCTTAGGTAAAAAATGGTAAAGAGGCTATACTTAAATTTTTTTTTTAAAATAGAAAATCTTTTTCATTACAAATATCTATAAAAGAGATATTTGCTTTCTTGTATTAACTGTTTTGGGTCCATTTTTATCACACAAGGAAGAAATCTATCGCTCTTGGCTCAAGAAATCTAGTTTCTTGTGGCTGCGGAGCCTTGGCAGGGAAAGGCCCTTCTTTCTCTCTCATCCTGCTCTCTGTGGAAACCTGAGGGCACAGTACCAGGATGTTCCAGGAGAGTGGAGCTGACTATGCACAGGGGATCAGCTTGCGCTGGTTATAGAGACATGATTAAAATGTATTTGGTTTCAGTGCTTAACTGCAAATCTGATGCAACTTCTGGAAAATCCCTAAATGACTTTAGAAATACTTAAAATGAACCACAATTCTTTCTTTTAAAAATAGACACAAACCAAAATATTTTGTTTTCATCTAATCCCATCCTAAATCCAGAGCCTCCTCAAAATGATTCTGAGCTGGAAAATTTCGATCCATTTCCTCTTACATTTGTTCTTCAGCACCTTCAGGGTTAAATATTTGCTTACTCTGAGCTGAAATTAAGGATGTTGGCAAAGACATATCTTTGTTATGTGTGCAGAATTTTGCTTGTCTGTGCCTAGCTTCCAATCAAAAGAGAACTGAAGTCTTCTTGTAATGATAAAAAAAGGAAATAAAATATTGCTTATTTCTTCATCTCTGCGAAAACAGGTGGGAACTGCAAAGATATTTGCTTATCTCCCTCAGTTGAGTGCTGATAAAAATTTGCTAAGCAGAAATGGTAGCTAGTGACCCCTTCTGAAGTTAGCTTCCATCCTTCTGAACTCTTGGTTCCCACAGAGGAAGCCATCCTCCTGAAGTCAGCCTCTAGGGAACTTCCTTTTGTTTCTCCAAGATTAACCACTTTTATCCTGGCAGCAGCAGCAGGCAGCTATAGAAGTTACTCTTCTGAGCTCTTGGTATTTTTTTCCAAGGAGTGTTTTTTCCTTCCCCAAATGCTCACTGATAGTGAAGCTGCTGTCCTGCAACACCTTTCTCTCTCTTTTTATTTTGATGAGAGGCTGATTCTGATCTACCATCTAGAAGCATCCGGTAGTGGTAAGTGGTCAAGAGTGTTTTTCCAGGAGTTGGTCTCAGGTTTGCAAGAATGTCCCCTAGAGACTTGGTTTGTTTTCTATGTAATTACTAGAGCTTTCCGAATAGCCTCGCTTCTCTCATTAATATGATCACAGAATGGGTACCTGTTTGATCTTCCTGCACTGCTGGGAAATCTCTCTTTTGGGCCAGTGGGTTAGGTCCAGGCTAAGGTGAGTTTGTGGGGAGCATTCAGTGGTTGCTAGAACCCAGAGGTGAATTAGATCTGGGCTAGCTGGGAATTTCAATTTCTTTTTTTCCAGGTGGCTGACTTGCTGCTTTAATTTTCTGTGTGGTTGAGGTTTAGCAAATGGTCTTTATTATTCTCCTCCTATTAAAAAAACAGCTTTGTGGGGATATTGGTTTGGTTTGGGAAGTCGAACTCTTTTTTCATTTGAAATGTAAACTTTTATTGTGTCCACATCACCTAATAAATGGCCAACGGGAGTAGGGTCAATGTCCATTTCTTCTTGGCTTGTGGGTATTTGTCACTTGCTGCTGGTAATGGCTGGTGTCAGTTTATTGCAGAGGGTTTACATCTAGTGCACCTACTCAGGATATTATTTATTCTATGATTAATTTTTGCTTTAGACAGGAACAGATTGTTGTACCCACTGAGGCTGGAGGGGTTTATTTTCAGTGCTGAGATCTTTCTAAACAAAGAAATTGGTTTCCTATCTGTTTTGTTGACAGCGTGAGATCTTATGTCCCTTGTTCACAATTAGCTCTTTTGGAGAAAAAGGGCATGGGTGAGAAATATTAATTGGAGGCTGAAGGCTTATTAGGTAGCAGATGAGGAAATAGGACCACATATGGGATTACCAACACCTGTGTCCACAAAGCGTCACCTTTGCTCAGGTGCTGTTCCCTGCTAGCCTTCACCGCAACATGTAAACCCAGAGTGATTTTTAAAACCTGTAGTTATCCTTCGGTTTCATCATGTATGCCTCTTTAAAAATGAGGGGACCAAGTGGCTTTTTGTACCCCTGGAGGGTTTTTTGTGCACAGGCGGATCTTATTTTGTTCTTATGTGGTAAATTGGAAATTTTCATTTAGTAGGAGAGGACTTAACCTGTCATCTCAAAATAAATTGGAAATTGTAACTCTCCTTAAAATAAGTCTTCTTAATGAATGTATTCAAAATGCTTGTTTAGCATGTAAAACAATGAGGTGGTAAACTTTGTTTCTGGGATTTCTCATGAAAAGATGTCATAGGAAATGGGAACCTCCAAACGTTCCGCATTTGTAGCACATGCTTAAAGTCTTATTGACTTCTCAGCAATATAAAATACTTTTCAGATATTTCCAATAGAATATTAAATGTTATTGATCATTTTATTTTGGGGAACATATTCTTTCCTTCCTTTGAGGCTGTCTTTCCTTCCTTTCTCCTTTTCTTTCCTCAGTGACAGTTTCAAGGGCACCTACTCTGTGCCAGGCTTTGGGTTAGATGCTGTCACAGTAGGAAAGTGACAGCATTTCACTGCATTGCAGCTTTCCTGTCCCTTCTTTTTTTAAAGATTTATTTATTTATTTATTTATTTATTTATTTATTTATTTATACATGCACTGGGTACAGTCAGAAGCACGGGAGGGTGAGAGAATTCACCAGAGCCAGAGCGGGGAGCAGAGCAGGCAGAAGGACCGAAGTACACTGCTGAGGGGAGCAGCGGGCCGCAGGAGAGGTCTGCGCGCCATGTGGGACCCTCCTCCGGTGGCCGGGGAGCAGCCGGGGATTGAACCAGTGCTGCATCGACCGTGGGCAGCTTGGCAACCCAGAGCTCAACCGCTGTGCCACCGGGGAGGCCCATCTGTCCCTTCTTTTAAGGTTGAGTGTCGCTAGGATTCTGTCCGTGCTGTTTTATTGCCTCAGCCTCTCTCTTTGTCCTCTCCTCACTTCTCTTTAGTCTTCTTCCCAAATGAGATCATTCTTCCTCCATGATCTCAGTTCTTCCTTATATGTTGATGATTAAAAATCTATAACCCTATTTTTTCTGTTTAGTGCTAAGACTGTTTTCAGTGATCAAGAGGCATTTTAAGCCTAACATATTCAAACTAAATTTTTAAAAATATCTTTTACATCATTGTGTTCCCCTGTAAAATTCCCACCACCAGTTCACCTGTGAACACTCACCATAATCCTTTGTGCTCTTCTCTCCCCTGTTTTGATCCCTTTTCCTTCCTGTTGCTTGCAGAATGCCTCTTATTTGTGGTTGCCTGCTAGTTTATTTATTATTGTTATTTTACGCCCCCCCCATCCCTTATTTGCTTCCCCTATATTCTTCCTATAAGTGAAACCATTCAATATTTTTCTTTTTCCTTCTGGCTATTTCACTGAGCATGATTGCTTCTAGTGCTGTCCATGTTGCTGCGAATGGCATGAGTTTATCTTTTTGATTGCTGAATAGTATTCCGTTGTGTATATGTACCACATCTTCTTGATCCAGTCATCTATTTTTTGGGCATTTGGGTTGTTTCCATATCTTACCTATTTTCCCTCCCCAAATTTGCTCCTGCTCTTCTACCTTTTTCATACTTCATTGCAGTATTTATCATTTTAATGGTATCCCAATCCCCTGGTTGTCTCAAGCCAGAAACCTAGGCATCAACCCAGATTCTCCTTATTTTGCTATTCGACATATGAACCATTAAAAAACTGTCAATTCAACGCACAAACATTTCTAGAATCCAACTCCACTGACATGTTGTCTTCACTTTCCTGTATCTTTCTGTGACAGTTAGAATAACTTTCCTACAAACTGGACAAGGAGGGCAGGAGTCTAACTTTACTCTTCTATTAAGAGACCTGTTCTTCCTCAGTGCTATCTAATAGATCAAGCACAAGATCATAATTACCATAGCAATGCTCTGTGTCACTTCATTATCAAATGGGAAGAGTGATAGTCCCCACCCATAGAGTTTGATGAGGGTTACATGAGATGGTACATGTTAGGTACTTAGCACAAGACCAAGTACCCATAAATGCTAGTGATGATGATGATGACACTGAAGATGGTGATAACTTCTTTCAGAATCCATCTTGTAGCTACTTTGCCAGCCACACATCACACTACACTCTTCCACGCCCCCTGTGATCTGTTTGCGGCTACTGACACTGTTTCCTAAACATCCTCTTCCCTTTCATAATACTGGTTTTTCCCTATGCTTTTCCTTGTCCTTTTCCTTATTTCATTTCATTGATCAACTTCTTCTTTGCCTTTTAAGAGAACTCAAGTGAGAGTCACCATTTATGAGGTCTTAGTTAACTTTGCAAAGCAGTCTTGGGAACTCCCTTTCACCTGCCTCTTTTCTGCTCCTTCAAACAGCCCTGAACTTGCTACTCTGTGACCTTTCTATCATCTTCCCCAGACTGTGGGTTTTGAAGGACAGAGACATGTTCCAATGTATGCTTCTTCCCTTTACCCAGCTCAGGTTTGACATAAATCAGGCACCTGATGAGTGTTTGATGATTGAGCATCAGTAGGGATGGATCTCAAATTTGATAGGAGGTTTTCCACTTGGGAAGAGTTGAAACACATTTAAGAAAAAGAAAAATAATAATAGCTTTCCTTTCTTCACTACTAACATTGTGGTAGGAGACACTGTAAATTTCTTTACAGATGTCACCTGATTCAGTTGTCTAAATGGCCCTATGAATCCCAGAGGTTGTCCTTGTGTATAGATGGGTAAATCGGGGCTTCGAAGGGAGGGTAGCAGAGCTACTAGGGCCAACACTTCTCTCTGGCTCCAGGACTGGCTCCAGAACCAGCGTGGGAATAGGGAAGTGAGAGAGGGAAAGAAGACTATGTCTGGTAGGGCATGTTTGGGAGAATAAGGGAAGATGAGGAGACAAAGATAGAAAAAGAAAGGCAGTGAGAACAGGCTATGAAAGGAACAGAGGAGAAAGAGAAAATAGAATTGGGACACTAAGGAGGAAAGAAAAGTGAGCAGGGGCTGAACAAGAGGAAGGAGGGGAGATGTGTCTGCTTTAGAATTTTGTGACTGGGTAACAAGTGCACGCCTAATAGAATATAGACAGATTTTGGTGTCAGTGGGACAATTCACGGCACAATCAATGTGCTGCTATATGGTATCGAGAAATAGAATCATTTCTTATAGAGGCATGGTAATTAGATATAATTGTTAGGCAATTTATAAAGTTGGCTATACTAATAATCATTTCTCTCTCTTGCTTTTATACACACACACACACACACACACACACACACACACACTGATGTAAATTCTTTTCATTCCTACTTTTTCCTCCAATATCTACAATAATCTGCAAGCTCTGTGACTGATGGAAGCTGTCACAGACACCAGCTATGATTAAATGTTATCCTCACATCACACTCAAAGTTGTACACATGCAGGACAGAGGCCTGGGCTTACTCTTTATCCCTCACTGAGATTTACCTGCTACACAAGGATCTTTCTTCTTCTTCTTCTTTTTTTTTTAAAGATTTATTTATTTATTCATATAAGAGGTGGGGTATAGGCCAGAAGCATGGGAGGGTGAGAGAATTCATCAGAGACAGAGCAAGGAGCAGAACAGGCAGACAGATCGAAAACACTGCTAAGGGGAGCAGTGGGTGAGACAGGAGAGGTTTGCCTTGCCATGTGGGTTGCTCCCTGGCTGGCTGGGAACTGAACCTGTGCTGCAGAGGCTGCAGACTGCTCCACAGCACTGTGCTCAACCTGCTGTGCCACCGGGAAGGCCCAGGATCTTTCTTCTTTGGGGGTCTTGCAACTGTGTTTCAGCTCACCCAGCCCTCAGGGTCGTGGCTCCAGAGGCCCTGGGAATATTCTTGGGCTGGTAGGCAGCAAATGTGACTGCGAGGTGACTGTCCAGGCATAGGACAGCTGGCTGAGGCTCAGCTTATTGGCCTTTGGGAATCGAGGGTGAGGAGGGTGAATTGGGCTGGAGAAGGACAAGAGAAGTGTAGCAGAAGGAGCGAGGG